GTGCTGTGTAGGTTGTCTGCTCATTTGCTGTCTCCCTTGCCATGCAAGGTTTTTCAGTTTGACATAATCTCACAGATCAATTTTTGTTTCTGTTGTCTGTGTTTTTGAGACTATATTTAAAAAGTTATTCCCCAGACCACTCTCATGGAGCTTCTGTTTTTCCTAGCAGTTTCATGGTTTTCAGCTCTTACATCTACATCTTTAATTCCTTTTGAGAGCTAACCTGTGGTGGTCTAGTCTCTACTTTATTTTCATCTTTTCATTCTCTCACATTTTTTTCTTTTCCCTTTTTGTTCTTCCCCTACGTATCACATCTACATCTTTAATTCCTTTTGAGAGCTAACCTGTGGTGATCTAGTCTCCCTGTTGCAGAAGAGACTGTGCTTCCTCCGTGTTTTCTTGGCACCTTGCTGGGAATTAGTTGGCTGGAAATACGTGGCTTTATTTCCAGTTCTCTATTCTGCTCAATTGGCTGTGCCTGTTTTTATGCCAGGACCATGCTGCTTTGACCACTGTAACTTTGCAGTGTCTTCTAAACCAGGCTTTTGAAGATCCAATATTGTTTCTGTTCAGTTCTGCTATCTGAAATCTTTTGTGCTTCCATACAAATTGTAGGACTGCTCCATTTCTGTAATGTCATTGGTGTTCGGATAGGAAATGCACCGAATCTGGTGATTGCTTTGGGTACTACAGACATCGTAACGATATTAATCCTTCCAATTCACAAGCAGTGGACTGCCTCCGCACTGTTCCGCATGTGTCTTCTTTGCTGTCTTTCATCAGTGTTTTATAGTTTTGATTATGCATTTCTTTCACCCCTTCATTCAGCTTATCCCTAGATTTGGGGTTTATGTTCACAGCAATTATTAATGGAGTCTATTTCTTTCAGCTAATTCATTATTGGTGAAATGCTAATTTTTTATATTGATGTATCTTGCAACTTAACTGAATTTCTTTATCACTCTAACAGGTTTTTGGTGAAGTCCTTAGGTTTTTCCTCTACGTAAGATCATGTCATCTGCAAACAGGGCTAGTTGGACTCCTCTCCCAATTTGCACACTCTTTTTCTCTTACCTAATCACTCTCACTAGAATTTGCAGAACTATGTTGAGTAAGAGTGGTAAAAGTGGATCTCCTTCTCCTGTTCCAGATCTTGAAGGACATGCTTTCAACTTCTCCCCACTTAGTATGATGTTAGCTGTGAACTTCTCATATGTGGCCTTGTACTGAAGTGTGTTCTTTCTATGTCTAGTTTGTCAGTTTTTATCATGAAGAATCTTGAATTTTATCAAATGCTTTTTCTGTGGTTACAGAGATGATCGGGTGGTTTTTGTTGCTAATGTATCATGTTTATTGGTTTGTGTATGTTAAACAGCCTTGCACCCTTTAGGTAAATCCTACTTGATTATCATGGATAATCTCCTTTGATGGATGTTTACTGGAAACAGTGGCTTGAAATTTTATTATTGTTGTGTCCATTTGGTTATTGGAGTAATCCTGGTCTCAAAGAACAAACTTGGATAAATCCCTTCCTCCATTTTCTTTCTTTCTTTCTTCTTAATATTTTGAGAAGAATTAGCCTTAGTTCTTCCTCACATGTTTGGTAAAATTCAGCAGTGAAGCTCTCAGGTCCTGGCTGTACTTTGACAGGAAATATTTTCTTGACAGAAGAGCACACTTGTAACCAGTGGCATATAATGTATTTAAAAGATCACAAAGGACTACTATGAAAAATTAGATGCCAATAAATTGGTATTATAGTTTTTAAAGCCATAAGGGGAACGAACTGGACAATCTAGAAAAAATGGATAATATCCTAAAAATATAAAACCTGCCCAAGCAGACCAGTAAGATTGAATCAGGGGCTGGGATTGAGCTCAGTGGTTCCACCACCTGCCTCTAAAGTGCAAGGTCCCGAGTTCGATCCTCAGGACCAAAAAAGATTGAATTGGTAACTAAAATCTTCCAACAACAAAAAGCTCAGAAGCCAGCTGGAAAGAGAAGAAACCAGTTAGCTGAAGGCAGTGAAAACAGGCAGCAGGAGTGCACTCGGGACTTAGCACATGAGATGGGTAAGTACAGACCAAATTACTTAAGCCAATACAGGTCATCTAAACTCTATTCTAAAGACACTGAGATGTCTTAGCCAAGTCTGCGATACAGCCGAGATCTTCACTTTTAAGAAACATTATAGTTTAGGACCACAGGTAAGGGCAGTGAGGTAGGACACAGGAGCAGGAATGCAAGTTCTCAGATTCAAAGACACAAGGACACTGGTAGAGAGATGGATGTGGCTTTCACTGAGGTAACACAGAAAGAAGGAAACAGACTTGAACCAGTGAAATGAGATGTTTGGGTGTGCAGTATAAGGCAGTGGGTGTTCTCAGGATAGACAAGCTTAGACATCCAGCAGAGAGAATTGTGCTGTGGGAGGAGTTAGGAGAAAGGACTGCTACGTAAGGGAAACTACAAAAAAACAGAGCTGAGGAGGAAAACCAAAACTACCTCAAAGGCCCCAGCACACAAAACTACACTGGCTAAAGAAACAGGAAGCAGGACCACAGCGACCCTACACATCTCCCTCAAAGTGGCACGCACTCCTTGTAAAAGCCAGGGGCCTCCCCAGGGACCTGTCTCTAGGTGGTTTGTGAAGAGATGTGTGAGATGTCTCTAGGCTCCGAGCTCTTAGGCAGAACCTCAGATACCATTCATTTGTTCCTTCTACTAACCATGCCTGGCCACTGGCTGCAAGGCATTATGAGTACCACAGATATGTCTATAAAATACCGTGAAAGTCCACAACACACTATGACTGATGATGGGAGCAATTCACAGCAAAGCAAAACAAACAGTGGTATGAAAAAGGAGGAATTCTAGCTCCTTGGCACGCTCAGGAGCCAGAGCATGGTGAGACTGCTGGAATCAAAACAGCATGGAAATCAGCAAGAAGGTAAGAACTGCAGGAAAAGCCCCAGAGTCTGACTGCAAGGAAGAGAAACAGAGCGCACTGTCCTCACTCACCAGACAGCGGGAAGTGTGTGCTGGGACACCGGCCACTGCTAAAAGGTGCCCATGGGACGCCGCTGTGAAGCCCCCACCTCTCAGGCTGTCCCTTCAAGCCTGCGGAGCTCGTCCGGGTAAAGTCCCAGCTGGCCACTCCTGCCTGGGTTGCTCTTAGCCCCTGTATATTCCAGATCCAAGCTGGGTGGCCTCCCAGGTAGGCTTTTCACGTGCTCTGCAGGGAACACGTGCAGCCACACCCGTTTCCTGATGCAGTACCTGTGCCCCTTTCCCTACAACACAGCCTTTCCCCTCCTCTACAGCGCCCATCTGGCCCAGCCTCTCCTGTTGCCTAGCAACACACTGACAATCCATGGATGGATCACTGTGCTTCTGTCCAAGCACAGTCCAGTCCCAAAGTACAGAGCATCCTCCTCACTGATCTAGCAGCCTCCTCGCTGGCAGACGCAAAAGCGTTCCCAGTCACCTAGGGTCTGCCTCATACATGCAACCCGATGGACAGGGTGGAGAAAGGACAGGGAGGATGACCACGGAAGGCTCATCTAGATGAACCGTGTGTGTGTACACTGAAGAGGTCCTTAATACATGGTCAATGTCCTTTCGGTCCCTCCATGGATTTATTACAGCTTTCAGTCTCCTATACAGAAAACTGTAAAACAGTTGCTTCTATCACTTAGAGGGCAATTTAAAATAACTGTTTTCTACCTTAGAAAGTGTCACTGATTTAAAGTGCACTAACACACTTCAGAGGTGGGGAGAAGGGTCTCACCGTCACACAGGAACATGCTGAGAATCGAAAGGTTAGCATTTTCCTGACCATTTTTAGCCACTCCTCTTTGGGTTAGGTAGCCCATTAGAAAACGGCTCCATTTCTGTCACCCTTTTCTTTCTTTCAATGTCCTGATGCAGATAAGTGACCTTTGCTTCCTCAGCTCTGTCACCCTGCCTGGGAGCCCAGTCTAGGAGACAGACCGACACCCCCTCCACTCCCGCGCTTCCTCCAAGACTTGCACCACTCAGATGAATCCCCGTGACCCTCCCTGATGGGCAGTCACCTTGCTCCAGGTCCCCAGGGGTCACTGTCCGCCCAAAGCACCTCCACATCTCAGAAAATGCTTCACACAGAAGAAGAGTTCGGAATCCTGGGAATCAGTTCGCATTTTATTGTACAGTACATTCATATAAGTTCCTGCATTTCCAAGGTAACCAGATCACATTCAGGTTAGCGCTGCTGGTAACAAAATCATGTAACTACCCTGGCTTAAAAACAAGATGATACACATTAATACTTCTTTCCCTTTAATACTGCAGAAGACAATAAATCACAAAATAAATCTCTAAAATCACATGCCTTGTACAATCCAGTGTGAAGGCATTGTATTCACGTTAAAATTAGACCATACAGGACACGGAGAGTTTCAAAACCCTCTAAAATTTCCCCCAGGGCCATCTTCTAATTGCCAGGGGGAGGGGAGAGACAGGCACTCAGCTTCAACACCTCAAGAAGTAAGGGTGGGAAAGTAGAGGGTCATTAACTCCAAAACTCATGGCTTGTCAGACTATATCTATAAAAATTACTTAATGACCTAAAATTTTAAACAGTTAACGTGAAGAAGGGAAGGTAATAGAGGAAGCACCTGGGAAAACTTCCACTAGTCACAGATGGGAAATTTAACCTGCAGACATCCCACAGAAAAAGGAAAATCTGAATCACACCCTGTCATATGCCAAGTTCTCAAGGTACATTTCATTGTATTAAATGAATACACAGTGATCCATGTTCGCAACAATTCAGAGAAAACCTCCCACCTGCAATATTTCCTGTAGATCATCTTACATCATGAAGACGACCAACACACTCAATGCTTAGAAAACTTAAAAAGCCAAACTGAGCTATAACAACTAAAACAAATTAGGTAGGAAAAAATTCAGCTGTGTGAGAAAGCAAGAAATTAGATTTGCTTCAATCTTTTGTTAAAAAAAAAAAAATGCCATTATAAAATGCTCTGGACCCTGGCCCAACACAGCTGGAATGATGAGTTACTAGAAACGGGAGCCCTGTTCAGACTGACAGCGCACACACTGTGGGTGTAACAATTAATTCACTCCCTAAGAACATAATTCAGAATCAATTCAGACTTGCCATGAACGCCGGCGACGAACAGGGCCCTATCACGTGCTGCCAAGCGACTGCTGGCTCCTGAACTTACACTCACCAGGTTTCAAAGGAAACTGATATGCGTATCTGCTGACCTTGAAAGAAATACCACCCCTTTCAAGGTAGAAAAGTATGGTGGAAAGGGGAATAAGACACTTCTTAAGAAAACCACGAAACATCTTGTGAAAAAAACCACAGCCAGTGCATATTTTACAACCCCTGAAGACAGCCCCCAACAGCAGGACGGGCGGGCGAAGGGAGCAGTGGTGTTTTTGAAACCAGAGTGATTTTCACAGAGTAAAATGCAGAATAAGTCAACATGTAACCAAGGTTTACATTATATCTAGAAATACGTTTTATGCTTTAAAAAAATTGCAATGCACTCCAAAAAATGTTTCTCATAATTCATGTACAACAGAAGGCACTGTTATCCGCATAAATCTATTGATTCTGCAATGGCAAAAACCTGAGACGTGCATGTTGATCCAATCTTCCAAAAGCCTCCTGGGGCTTTCAGCGTGTGGAGCAGGTGGCTGCCCTTTTCTACACAATGATTCTGTTTTCCTTACTCTCATACATTACAGTAGCTGCTGAAAATGTGTGTCCTGGGGCGGGCAGGGTCACAGGGAAAGGAGTGGCCAGAACTGCTGCCTGATGTGGCCGGAGGCCCTGAGAGCAACCCTCGCTCCCACCCCTGACCTCACACCCCGTGAAATCACACACGTTGGTGACACAACCGCTGATGGCCCTCGCTTCAGTTGTTGCTGGGCATAGTCCCAAAGTTAAACGCAGAGAGAACGCCTTTGTTTTCAAATGTGAAGCCACCCTGCTGTTCAATCTTCTTCTTTGCCTCTAGTTAAAAAAGAGAAGAAGAGTATTTCAGATGACAAAATTGGAAATAACCTCAAAAGAGCCAGATTCTTTATATACCAGGGGTGGAGCACCCATGGCACACGTGCCACAGCCAGCTGCTTGTGAGTGAAGGCTCTAAAAGGCTCACCAAACTGTTACATGCTTGAGACTTATGAAGGAACGTGACTCGCAGTATTAGTTACTCTGCCCAAGTAAATGTCAGCCCTTCACAGACCCATGTCAATAAGTAGCTCTGTTTATTATCACAGAAACATTGCTAAAGATGAGTGAAATAACAAGTCTCAATGCTGAATTTTTAATAGCTTCCATTTTTCTGGATGAAAGGGGACCCCAATGTCTCACAGGCAATCTGAAGGCCTGAATCTCTCTATATAAGAACCAGAGTTCTAAATTCTAGATGCATAGCTCACATGACCGACTAAATTTTCGCAAAATATTTTCCAGTCATAATCTAAGAGTGACTAGAATAATCTGATATAAAATAATTCATCCATCTTAAAACTGAAAATCAACAATAGCTACCAACATAAAGCCCAACAAACAGAAACGGAGAGCATGTTACAGCTCAGCTCCTAAATGTCCCCCAAAACACATCAAAGACCTGAGCACCAGCCCATCATGACAGGAGGGGTGGAGGCCTCAGGAGTGGGTCCGAAGAGGAAGTCTATCCCTGGGCTGCCTTTGAAGGGGACATGGGGGTGCTGGCCCCTTCTTCCCTTCCTCTCGGCTCCCCAGAGGCCTTGAGGTGAGCGGGTCTCCTGTGCCACATGCTTGTGCTGGATGAACTGCCTCGCCACAGTTCCAAGGTACATGAGTTGAAACCTGGAGCCAAAATGCCCTGTTCCCCCTTGTAAGCTGATTTCCTCTGGTATTTTGTCACCGAAACAGAAAGCTGACTGATGTGCCTTTCACTGCTAGGAGTACAACCTCCTCGTAGGAACTAATGCAGCACAGGTTTTTACAGAGCTATGGTGTGATAATGAGTGATTAAGCAAACAACTATTCAATAAAGACAACTCTTCATTATCATGAAGGTTTGGTCCCTAATAATTCTGTGTTTTGAGACAGGGTCTCACTGTGTAGCCTAGGCTGGCCTTGAACCTCATTCTTCTGCCTCGGCCTCCTGAGTGCTGGAATTAAACTGTTAGAGGTTTGGCCTCTAAGAATTTACAAAGTACTAGTTCAGTGGGCTGACTCCCAGCACTGCCACACACACTCTCCTGTGGAGGTGACCGGCTGACCTGCCACCGTCCTTCGGTGTTCTGCGAATGTGTACACCTCCTGCAGCATCCTCTTCTGATCGTCACTCAGAGGGGCCATCAGCAGCTGGTACCAGGCAGCATCCCGACTCTGCACACCTGTTGGGTTTCAGGGAAAGAGAAGAGTCCAGAGACAGTTGTCATCAGAGGAATGCCTAAGTGTCAGAGTGACAACGGAGGGCTCCGCCTGAGCGCCCCTCAGAATTCAACTCCGGGGCGTGTCAGAGGAACGTGGGACCCTGAGTTTACTAACTGTGGGCGTCCCCTGAAGTGTGGTCTTGGGAACACCTGTAGTCACTTGCTCAATTTTCTTCCTGTAGAACTTTCACCCTCCTACTTCAGCACTGCTTCTATAGCAAGACTCGGGTCTGCGCCTTTAGGCTGAATTTCCCCTTACCCTATTGGGCCTTTCAGTATCAACAGCTCCCCTCAAACTCAGCACAAATAAAAGCAAAGTTACTTTTCATTCCAATCTTTCCTTATGTCCCCATTTCCATCACTATTTCTATTAATCTCCCAGGTAACGTCTGTGAGCCCTTGGCACCTCTGACAGGTGCGGTGATGCACACCTGTAATCCAAGCACTTTGAGAAGCTGAGGCAGGAAAATCAAAAGTTTGAGCCTGGAAACTGAGCAACTTTGCAATACCATTGTCTCAAAATCAGAAATGAAA